CCCCCTCCCTGCCACCCCCTCAGCGCAGCGCTCTGTGCAGAGCGGGCTGTGAAGGCCACCTGCCTGGCGGGCCACACTAACTGCAGTGTTTTAGTGCCGCCTGGTGTTGGTGCCTGGAAACGCAGCTGCACGCTACACCGCGCTTAGCCTGCGACGTGCGGACCTTTCTCATTACTGCAAGAAATTTTCTATCGTCATGGACAAATACACCTCAAACTAATGCGTCTTTGTCAGTTGTTGAAAGAAAACAAAATCTCAACAACAGCCTTTACAATTCTGCATCATTTTATTTATTTCAGATGTTCTTATTATTTATCTAGGAAAAGTTGTTTGAACAAAAACAGTGTATAGCATGCTCTCTCTGAAAATATACCTGTTAAGTGAATAGAGAAAATACCTCCAACTTATTTGTGAGTTCTTTTACATTTCAGATTTTTAAAAATATTAACCACGAACAGGGAAGAGCTGAAGCAGAACTGCTACACTCATTTTTTATAAACTATTTTTCCATAAAGTAACTCCAATTTCACAGGTAACAAAAAGACTCTTCTGAAGATGAGCGTTGAAAAGAACATACTAATGTAAAATACAAATAAAAATTAGTTTGATTTGCCTTTCAAAAAATAGTTAAGTGCCTGGATGAACATTTTTATGCTATAAAAGAAAGATTAGGAGAAATGACCCAAATCAGGTTAACACCAGAACTAAACATACAGAACATACATAAAAGAGCAAAGGAAACATCTCATGGTACAATGAGGGTCCATTCAGCAAATAAAGGTAGGTAGCCTTATAAAACCCTCCAATTCATTACTTACCCACCCTTCCCATGTGTTCTAGGACAACTTCCCTTATGAAAATTCAAGTTCTGCAAGAGAATGGCAAGCAAACCAATTTCTCCTAAAAGATCCTTTCAAACATTTAAAACCCTGCATGATGTAACAATGGCCCAAGCCAATACGCTGCAGAACAAAAATAATTAAAAGTAGCAGCATTGTCTAAAATTCTGCAGTTAAATTTGAGAAACATAAAACATGTTAATACCCTTAGGCATTATATCCTGTTTCACAGCTACAATGATTTATCTTTACCATGTAAATGAGGTGTAATAATGATCATATATCAACCATTGTGCTAGAGAAGATCATTTCTTAACTTTCTCTAATGAGCATTTTTAATTTAAATTGAATGCGTTTCTTTGTTGTTGCTTGCTTGCTTTTTTTATTTTAATCCAAAACTAAGCTTCTTGAATTGGATTAAGTAAAAGTCAAATTATTATCAAGTTCTTATTCAAAATAATGTAAGACATGATTACTTTTAAGGTGCAATCATCTTTCTTAAAGTAATTAAGCCTTAAATTAGGTTCCAATTCAAGATGGCATCTGGCTACAGGGCGATGTTTGCATGTCATTATGGCAGAAGGGAGGGCGGCCCTTGGGTTCAAGTGCAGATTGCCCTGTGCCCTAGGTACCTCTGCTCGGAGGCTGCACTGCCTTTTGTACACAAGCCCTACAATAAGCCGCAGGCTCCAATGTCAGCTTCTTTCCCTACTCCACTGGGCGTTCCGAGTCCTGTCCAGGGCACAGGGGAGCGTAGGAAGCATGAGCCTGGAGGAGCACTATCTCGACTCTTTCCTTGGCCTGAACACTCTCCTCAACTGCTCAGGTTGCCCAACTGCACACTGCGTGTGGAGAGACCTCTCCTGCATTCCCTCGTGTGAAAATGAAGACAGCCCCTTAATACCAGCCCCTCGTGTGAAAATGAAGACAGCCCCTTAATACCAGCTGCATGGATTCCCTGCACCCATCCACGCTTCCCTTGAAAAAAGTTCTACACTATCTTCCCGAGTGATAGTAACTTTCCTTGCATCATTATTTCCTCCTACCCCAGTATCATTCGTACACACGCGCATGAACACACACACACACACACACACACACACACACATTCTTCGCTGTGGATAAAGTAGTAAAGAAGCAGGAAAGTCCGATCACCAAGGAAAGAAAAGCATCCCGAGATATTTCTGCGGTCACCTCTTCAGCTGGAAGTGTACTTCCTGGCACTCCTTATGTGTTAGGTGGTGTTCCACACACTGAAGGAGCTCGAAGGAAGACTAAGTGATTCGTTTTCATGATCGGATTTAGCTTATTGTTTACTTTTGTCTCTTAACTGTACTCAAAATCCCCCCTATGAGCATCCCTGCGTGTGCTAATGCAAGGCCATTCAAGCAAATGCTCTGTACACATTAACTCAATCTCTCATTTGTGTTGGCATCGAGACTCTAACATAGATTAATTAATCTTTTTCTAATTCTCTTTCTTTGTGTTCAAAAAGAATTTATTGTATTTGCAGAGTGTAGCATTGGATTTTTACTTATTTGGAACTCCTATTTTACTTCGAAGTGGTCTTCATTCACCACAGGAAAACATTAGTCACCTGTATGTACTAAGAATCAAGATGTCTTTCTTGGACATGCTAACAACGTGTATTTTTTTTAGTGTCAGTTTTACGAGCCAGATCATGTCTTGGGAGGTATGTGTTAAGGCTTAGATTTAGATGGTGAAGTTAGATTGCTCATTTCCATGGTACAGTACGACTCAGTGCATGATTTCAGTTTAGAAGAAAACCGGTGGTAACAAAACTTCAGACTTCAGGGGGTTTCTAGTTTGCTGGTCTCCCGGCAAATACAGGTCTGCGGGTTCCCTTCACGCCGCGCCCCGCCACGCGCCAGCCGTGCTCAGCGGGTAGGACGCAGGGAAAGGGGAGCAAAGCACGCTGTGCCGTTTCTGCCCTAAGGTATAACCAGCTTTGCTTGCAGCAGGACCACTTTGCAGCTCACCGGTTAGAGAAGGTCACCGGGGAAGTCGGGCTGTCCTGCAGCATCATTCAGTGTCGTGCTGTCAAATTTAGTGTCTCTTGTATATTTGCTCTGTGTGGCCCCTGGGGCAGCAGACTTTAATCTGGCTCTGCCCAGATGACTCTGTTACTTCTTGTTTCCTACTTAGTTTCTCTGGCTCTCGTCCAGTCTCCTCGTGGGCATACTCCAGATTCCTGGAGCCTCAAGACAGAGTTCAAAGCTCTTCCGTGAGTTTGCAGGGCCCTGCGTGCATCTCTTCACTTTCAGTCACCGTGATTTTGGTCTCTTTCTGAAGACATTGGTCTTCCTCCTTGGTACTCAAAGTCCATGGTATAGAACTACCCTGATCTACTGAACTAGAATCTGTGACGTAACACTTTCCTTTACTCATTCTTAGGCACATTGAGGTTTGAAAAGCACCTGTCTATCCGATGTGAAATGCTCAGTGAGAAACTAAGTCACTTTCAGAAAGACTCAAAATTTAGAAGTAAATCATGATACATCCTAGTTTCGAATCAATTGTTAGTTGGATTTTAGTGAGAGAGAGGATCAAAACAGTTTTCGTGAGAGAAATTGCCACAGGCAAGTAGCCAGCTCAATTTATATTGGATGCATTCTTTTCCGATGAAAGCAAATATTTGGGTTACTGGGGGGAAAAATGTGAAACGAGCAAGTTTTCACTCTTTTGTCTTATAATAGGTTGCTCCTCCTGGTGGATAAATGGGCATCAGAGTCTCATAGAAAAAGCAACGTGATTTCACCTCATCCCTTGTGAAGGCCCGCACCGCCGGAACCCTCGGAGGTTGTGCCCATCAACAGAGATCCTGCAAATATTGATGAGCAGGCGCACTGAGTGGCCACAGGGGCCCTCTCCCATCAGCACTGTCATTTGGGGTCACCCACATCACAGTGTTTGCCTCCTCCCCCGTGGGGAGAGTTGTAAGAGGGCTGCCTTCTCCTTCTCAATGTCTCTTCCTGCCCCACCAAACTCTGACTCGTAACCAGAGTTAACCAGATCGGTGATTTTTTCCTGGACAGTGAACCTTTGGACAGTGAACCTTGAGTTAGTGACCTGAGGGCAAAGGAACACAATTTGAAGTCACCCAATGAAGTGCAAAATCAGTAGTGGTGGTGGCACTGTCGCCATCTGGCTTCTGCCCAGGGGCTGCTCCCTCTGCTCACCGCTGCTCCCCCTGCTCACTGCTCCCCCTGCTCATTGCCGCTCCCCTTGCTCACTGCTGCTCCCCCTGCTCACTGCTGCTCCCCCTGCTCACTGCTGCTCCCCCTGCTCACTGCTCCCCCTGCTCACTGCTCCCCCTGCTCATTGCTGCTCCCCCTGCTCACTGCTCCCCCTGCTCACTGCTCCCCTGCTCACTGCTCCCCCTGCTCACTGCTCCCCCTGCTCACTGCTCTCCCTGCTCACTGCTCCCCCTGCTCACTGCTGCTCCCCCTGCTCACTGCTCCCCCTGCTCACTGCTCCCCCTGCTCACTGCTCCCCAAGCCTGGCTGCCCAGGCTCTAGTCAACTTCCTTCCGGGAAACTCTCTCCTCTTTCATGTCAGCCAGAAATCGGTTTGGGGTTTGCAACCAAAAAAATTGATGATAAACTTATCGTAATGAAAGTGGTCATCGGGACTGCAGACGTCAAGTAAGGATCGAGTCCACGTGGCCAGAAGGAGGAGGTGATTTCTAGCCTCCTGTGTGGCTGAGCCTGTCATTGCCAGCAACCTGGACAGGAAGACACGGCTTTTCAGTGACAAAGTGTGAGGTAGGACTTGGGCAGCATGTCGGGGTAGCTTGACCAAGCATTTTAGATTGTTGCAAATGCATTATGCATCAGGACGCTTAACTTAAAAACCAACAATATAATAAAAAAAGATCTATCTCTGGTCATGGCAGAACAAGTTTCAAAATCTATTTTCTTTTAAACATATTAAGTCAGTCCTGGCCGGTATGGCTCAGTGGTTGAGCATTGACCCACGCACCAAAAGGTCGCCAGTTCGATTCCTGGTCAGGCACATGCCCAGGTTGTGGGTCGGATCACCAGTGGGGGGCGTGCAGGAGGCAGCCAATCGATGTTCTCTCTCATCGATGTTTTTATCTCTCTCCCTCTCCCTTCCTCTCTCTCTAAAATTAATAAAGGAGTGTTGTATGAAAGGAGGGAAGGTGAGTACTGCCCTTGAAGGGTCAAAGAGGTTCTCAGGCCTAACAGCACACACACAGTTAAAGCATTGCCACCTACTTCATCACATCTAACCATTGTTTTGTGTTGTTTTTTAAAACAAGAAATAAATGATATAAAATTAATAAAGGAAAAAAAATTAAAATAAATAAAAATAAACATGTTAAGTCGGTTCATAGTCCTTCATAAAAGTTCTACATCTATACACATTTTTAGCAATCACTTTGTTAGATGCATAACAAGATTTATACAATTCCCCACCAAAGATAGTAAATAAAACCCCTGAGAAGTAGTACCTCCAAGTCTATTTAAAGTGCTCTGCCAAAGATGGACCTGGTTTAATCATCCATTTTTTGATGCAGCAAAATTCACATAATCTATGAAGTCCATAAGGAGCAGGACATCTGCCACCAAACTGAGCTTCACCAAACCATCATATTTTACAAAGGAGTGTGATAAGTGTATTCCCCAAAATCTTCCTTCATCAAAGAAATCTGCCAGTGTTCATGCCTGCAGTAAGGGTCAACATCCAGGCTCCCATCCACAGCTGACTGCAAGACTGTGCGAGGCGTCCTGTGTCTCAGAATGGAACATAAACCAGGCGGTCAGCTGGGCACGGCCCGGGGCAGCACACAGACACAGGTCCCCGACAGCAGCAGCAGCAGCATGTGACAGTACAGCAGAGCCCACACCTGCCCAAGGTTTGCTTTGGAGTGGTTTGTCCATCAGAGTGAGCCCCTGTATTTCTTAAGTCAAGGGGTGTTGGAAAAATGCTTCGAGGGGATACGAACATTCCTCTACTGTGAGCAAGACGGCAGTGTTTCCCAACTTGAAAAAAAGAGTTCACATCTGCTCGAATTATTTCACTTCTAACTCCTTCCAAAAAAAAAACACTTGATTCAGGCTGCTTTGTATTATTACCTTAATATTTTAATTTTTTGTTTTTGTGACAATTTTGACATTTGTGTTATTGAATTTAAAATAAGCCAGTCAGAGTACCACATGATCTCACTTATGTATAGAACATGATGAACAAAATAAGCTGTCGACCTAAAGAGAATCATGGAAGTGGGGAACAGATTGACAAACCTCAGAGGCATGGGGGTGGGGAGGGGAGGGAAGAAATAAACCAAAGAATTTATGTGCATATACGCACAACACAACATTAGGTTGGGAAAGGCAAGAGGCGGTTGGGAGTGGGAAGGAAGGGGTCAATGGGGGAAAAGGGGGACATCTTTAATACTTTCAACAACAAAATATATATTATTATTATTGACATATAATTATAAATTTAAAAAAATAAATCTGTCCATTTGTTTTAGTTCATGCTACCTTTTGTTTGAAACATAGATAACAGTAACCTAGAAATTAAAAAACAACAGATTGGTGGGTAAGTCCTATCACACTAAAGGCCAAGTGTATATAAGCCTAACCAGTCCAATTTGCTATTTATAAAGTCATTAAATCACATGCTAGCCTCAGACAGACAACAACCTGGGGACTACCGGAGGGAAAGGGGGGGAAGGGAAGGAGGGGGAGGGGGTAAAGATAAATGGTGATGGAAGGAGACTGACTGTGGAGTAGTGATCACAACACAATGTGCAGATGATGGATTATAGAATCGCACACCTGAAACCTATATACTTTTATTAACCAATGTGTCATCCCAGTAAATTCAATAAAAAGTTACCAAAATCGAAAATAAAACACGAAGAGAGAGAGACAAGAAGAACCGTGAAGGGGAAGGAGCTTCCAAAGCTCCGTCATTTCATGTCCCTTCCTCCTAAGAAAAAATGCAGGAATGTCCCGAATCCCATGCTTACCTGACACTGGCCCCCCGACCCCCACCAGAAGCACCTTCCTTGTCTTTTTGCATCAAGACACACACAGAGTGCAAGTAGAACTCCGTGACTACATTTTATGTGTGACAAACAGGACTGGGGAGAGCCCATCTTTCATTAGTCAAAGTGAAAGGAGGGTTCTGTAATGGACCACAGGCTCTGTTCCTGATTCAGGATATGCTTGCCCACAGTACACCCAAACTGAACTACTGTAATACTATTTTAATTATTATACCAAGCAGACAGAGCCTCTGTTTACGTAACCCAGTTTATTTGGGGATAATATTTAGTGTATCTAAGGACAAAGTGATGCTTCTTGATAAAGATTATGGCAACATATAAAAATAAATGAAATGACATCATCTGCTCACTCAGTGAGCATTTTCAGTTGTTCTAACAAAGAAATGTGGGGAAAAAACCCTAACTGTTAATTTTCCACTGAAAGTAAGAGACGTAAATTTAGGACAACAGAATAGTTCGTTAAGAATCTTAGCATTTTCAAAATTTCATTTTTGCCCCTGGTTCTCCGTATTTATATTAGAAACACGATTGCTCTCTTCAGGGAAGGCAACATCACAGCTTGAGGAATAATATTTGAGTGGAATTAAAAGTGTTAGTTTAAAATATTTATAATACACAAGAATAGACGTGTGCAGGGAAACAATCTATAATTGGCATGTTTCTGATTTTCTGTGATGTCTTCAAACTGTCTATGGTTCGAAGCTCCTTCACCTAAGCTAGAATATAACTCAGTTGTATTCTTTTAAATATGATTATACAATTAATGTTGACAAAGGAAATATGGTGACTATACATCACACCCCCTCGCCATTGTTCTGATCATCTCTGAAGCCATCATATACGTCCCAGAACTGCAGGATCCTCCTAACTGGGAACCTGTTTTCAGACTCAGAATGATGGGTTTAAAATGGTAAACAGACATCTCACGTCCCTGCTTGGAACAGTACCCAGGGACTTACCAATAAACTCAGCAGACTGATCAGTTTTATCTGTTGCTGATTTTGTAGTCCTCTGTAAATACAGTAAAGAAATGTCTTTAATTGTATTAACCCAAAAAGACAAGAAGAAAGAGGAGACGAAGAATGTGAGATAATTTGGGACAATAAAGAGCAGATGATTAAATTATTTAAAAAAAAAAGGAGCTAGAAAGAATATCAATTTTTACTTGTACACTTGTTAATATCTTCACTCCATAAATTTCCATAACTAAAATCAACACTAATGGAATGAAAGTCAATTCTTCACATATTTTTCTGCTACACATTCAGCTTTAGAATTTCAAAAATTAGATGAAGTTGCATTCATTTGGGTTATTTTCCTTTCAACTTGTGACCATATATTAACAGCACTGAAAATTACTTTTATATAAGTTCTGAAAATATATATTATAGTGTAAATAAAATGTCTCAAGAATCTTTACACATTGGTAAATCAGTTTAATACCTTAGAAGCACTTGGCACATGGTATTCTCTCAGCAAAGCATGAAAAGGTAGATTAAATATTTGCATTAATTATATTAGTATTTATTATTTGAAAAGGTAGGGTTATAGATATAGGCTTTATTTTTATTTTTTGTCAATTTATTTTTATTAGAGATATTTCTCCTTTTTCTCCCTTTGACACCCCCTTCTCAATCCCACCCCCCAACCCCCAGCATTGTTGGCTATGTCCATTGGTTATGCATATATGCATGTAAGTTCTTTGATTTATCTCTTACATATTTTTATTTTTTGAAATAATTTATTTGTTCTTTAAATTAATTTGAAACCATATATAAAGATTTCCATACTGGCTTTCAATACATTTATATCATGATTTCCCACACTGCTTAGTAATTTTGATTTATCTCATGTTTAGTTTAAGTACATCTTCTGCTAATATGGTTTAGTAATTCCTTTCAAGGAGATAACAATATTAGACATTCAATGACTAAGAAAATATATATGATGAACATATCCTCACCAAATAATTTGATCGTGAAGAAGATTAATTTGGCTAAGTATTAATATAAACTTCTTTAGCCATCTGGAGTTTACCTTTATGGGAGAAGTCTGAGACTAGTTAATATGTATTATTTTTGTAGTAAACTTTTTGTCTTCTTTTTTACTGCTCAAATGCCTTTTTGCTGATTAGAAGTTCCCAAACTTTCTTGGCTCATGGTACCCTTAAATAATTTATTACTTAATAACCATTCTCTATTAACAATAGATTATTAAATAATTTATTATTTAATAACCACAATTACATAATTAAGCACACCTCCTCTAATCTTGGAATCAGATTGGACACCCAAGCCTCATTTCCTGCTCCACATTGATGTGCATATGGTATGTGTTTTTTCATCAAAGTGCCCACCAAAAACTCATTGTCACTAAGGTATAACATTCCTTTGACTGTCATACAATATAAAATTAAAATGATGAACTTTCCCAAGCTAGCCATTTCCACAGCCCCTGGAAGATGTCTAGTATTCCTGTGTTTCTCTCAAAGACTTAAAGTGTCCCATTGTGCCTCCCCCCAAGTTTATGGTGGTGCCCTGTGGCATCTCGACACACAATTTGGGAATCATGGGTTTAAAGAATTTCTTCTAAATCTTGAAATTGTATAATATTATGATACTAAATGAAAGTTTTGGTCTTTTGTAATTAAATACTTTTTGCTTATGAGGAGCCATTTTTATCAGTAAATATTACAGTTTAAATGTATCCTCAAAATATTTTTAAATGTCTTCCTAAGTTTCAGACAGCTGCTTCTCACTGTGCCTTCACGTGCCCTGTCTCTGTGCTTGGACTCTGGTACTCCTCCCCGTCCTGCAGGGACACCGGCCCTGTTGACCTGGGTCCCGCCTTTATGGCACCTTAATTTCATCCTCAAAGGCCCTAAGATACTCACATAGGGGGTTAGGGATCAACATAAGAATTTTAGAAGACACAACTCAGTCTATTAGAAGATATGTATGTAAACTCTGCAAATATATTAGTTTAAATAGAAATATTTTTCCACCTTACTTTTCTCTTTTTAAATTCTCATATGCCTCGCCCTGGCCGGTTTGGCTCAGCGGTTAGAGCGTCCGCCTGCGGTACAGAGAGACCCGGGTTCAGTTCCGCTAAGGGCGCGTGCCTCGGTTGCAGTTTGTCCCCGGCCCTAGTCGGTTGTGCGGGTGGCAGCCACTTGATGTGTTCCTTTCACATCGATGTTTCTCTCTCTCTCTCTTCCTCTCTCT